TGACCTCTGGGAGCCTGAGAGATCAACGCAGAGGGGTGCACCTGCTCTGAGTCTTCTACGCAGCTGGGGGCAGGCCCCCAGTGGACACACACACACACAGTGCCTGCTCTGAGCCTCCAATGCGGCTGGGGGCAGGCCCTCCGTGGGGCAACACACACACACACACACACACACACACGGCAACTGCTCCAAGCCTCTGCTGCCAGACTGGGGCAGTAGGACATCCACTGAGGGCTCTTGGACTGTGTGAGGGGCAGGCTAGGCTGAGGGAACTCCACCCCCAGTGCACGAATTTCGTGCACTGGGCCTCTAGTATAGATATATTGTACAAAATAAACTTTGTTAACATAGCAACCCAAACCCAGGATTCACCATTATAACATAATTAATGACTTCAATTTTATTCCCTTTATTTTATGATTGTAATACAAAATATCATTTTAAAAAGTCAGTGTAAAACATATTCTGTAACTATTAGCTTTTAATGATTACTTTTAGCAAGGAATTTTGTCCTGTTTGTCAACTTGCAATTGAGTTGTGTGTTTTTTTAATTAATTACTTTAAGTATGTAATATTAGGGCATTCAAATGTAAGTACTAACTCAGATTTTTGTAAAGCTATAATTTTATGTTTGTAAAGTACCACTGTGCTGTCCTAAATGATGGCAACATCTCATTACGTTTTCTCTAGTAAAAGGTACTTTTGCTCTTCTTTCCAAGTTGGATGTTATCTGCTTATGAGTCACTGAAAGCATTTTCACTGCCTACGTTCATCATCACTTTTTAAAAGTAATTTTATGAAACCACATTATATTTTCAAAGTTTGAGAGAGAAAAAAAACACCCTATTTTTGATAACAGCTTTTTAAAAGTGGGAGAAAGACCTGTGACATTTTGTGGCAAAGAAACTAGGTCTTTATTATAACAGACACCAAAACAAAGTGTGAGATGCATTGAAAATTTTACCCCATATGCTAGAATCTCCCCAAGGGGAATCCTATATAATAAACAGTTAATATGCAAATGGTTGTCACGCCCTCACACCATCATGCCATAACAGCTCAGACACTCAACACTGGGGAGAGAGGTATGGGGACCAGCCAGGCACAAATGAGCTCGTGAGAGAGGAATGGGCACCAGCCAGGCACAAATGAGCTTACAAGAGAGGAATGGGGACCATCCAGGATCAAATGAGCTCATGAGAGAGGAATGGGGAACAGCTAGGCACAAATGAGCTTGTGAGAGAGGAATGGGGACTAGCCAGGCTGTGGCCAGGGAGAGTAACAAGCCATCTGCCCCACGGTCCCAGGTGCCAGCGGCTGTGCCTGCACCTGCACCTGTGGCCCAGGAGAGGGACAAGCCACCCACCCCGCAGTCACTGATACCAGCAGCTGGGCTGCACCCCAGGAGAGGGACTAGCCGCCTGACCCACGGTCTCAGGCACGAGCGGCTGTGCCTGGCCCAGGAGAGAAGCCGCATGCTCCGCAGTCCTGGGTGCCAGCGGCTGGGGCTGCAGCCCAGGAGAGGGTCAACCCGCCTGCTCCGTGGTCCCAAGTGCCTGCAGCTGCAGCCCAGGTGAAGCTGCCTGCCCACAGTCCCCTGTGGCTGCAGCCAGCATGGACGAAGCTGGCCCGGGTCCTGGGTGCTTGCGGCCAGCCAGAGGGAGGGAATCCTGGGTCCCAGGTGCAGGGTGAAGCAGAGGTGGTTAGGGGAAATCAGGCCAGCAGGAGAGCAGTTAGGGGAGATCAGGCAGGCAGGCAGGTGAGCAGTTAGGAGCCAGCAGTTCTGGATTGTGAGAGGCAATCGGACATCCCCCAAGGGGTCCCAGATTGGAGAGGATGCAGGCCGGGCTGAGGGACACTCCCCCTCCGGTGCAAGAATTTTGTGCACCAGGCCTCTAGTTTGTTTTATAATCCAGAAGGTGAAGCTA